CTTTTGTACTATATTAGCATAGGTTTTTGTTCCCATATAGCTTTCAACAAATTTTCTGGCTTCTAGGGATGGTATATTTTTTGTGTGCTTTACATACATTATTTCTTTTTCTCTCTTGTAGATATCACAGGTCTTTGAAAAGGCAGGGTATTCTTCATGGCAGTTAGCACATTTCACATTACTGCATTCATTATCTGTGTGATTTGGATAACATTCACCGCACTTTCCATACACTTGGTGTCCTCTGCAAATGTCTTTGTGGTGTCCAAAGTTTTGACATTTGAAGCACCGCAGGGGAGCTGGTATAAATTGCTCTACCCTTTCTATAGTGTAGCCAATCCTGATTTCTTTTGGTATTATGGGTTTTTCAGACGTTAGTATATATGTATGTGTCTCTATAATATCATTGTTTCTTTGAATAGATATTCTCTTACATTCCTTTACACCCTGTTTTTTTAATGCCCTTTCAATTTCTTCTTGTGTTACTAATGAAAGGTCGCAGCTTCTTATAACACCTTTTGAAGTGTTTAATTTTTCATGTGGATACCCTCTACATTTGATGTGAAATTTATCCACTTTGAGTAAATTTTCCTTATGTTTTTTTCTTTTCAACTTCCATTAGCAAGTTACCATTTCAAAGTTTTTTTTACATTTTTTTTGGATTCAACCTACTTGATATGATTTTCTCTATCAGGAAAGGTGATAACTTATCCAATTTAATTTCCTCTAATGATTCAATAATAATGAATCTTGAATAATCTGTTTCAATCTCCAAGTCAGAATCTGATAAATATCTTTTGGATTTTTTGAAGGAAGAAGCCATATATATATGTTTATATTTTTCATTGGTCCTATGTTTCACCACCCACCATGAAGTCCAACTTGTTTTGGGAATGAACCAAAGGGGAAACCCATTTGCCTTGGCTGAAACGAGGATACAATACCAGTATACTCATGTCAAGAGCAAGTTTCTGAGCCTCTGCCAAATTCTGGTTTTTATTACACAACAATCTAACAGGGTCAAAAAGTCTTTTTTTCCTCCTAACCCAATTGACTCTCAGGCACTGCCTTCTAACACATATAAAATAAAGGTTTAGAGGGTTGTTCCGCAAGAGCAGATTGAATAGTACATTTTGGAGAAAAGAAAGATACATGTGCTAGGGCATGATGGGATCGGGCCTACGCAACTGCCCGTCAGACCAAGTAAGGGCCAAAGTGGTGTGTTGCAAGCCATTGACCACTCTGTCGCTGGATCAATGACTGCTCAACCACCCGGATTCCATCCTGGTGCCTTATGGGTTGCCACTCACAGCCAACAGGTGACTCCATTGGGGTGGTCTTATTCCTCTGCAGAGGTGTAGCCAGTGTATTCTACAGCTCCAGCTGACAGGGTGAACTGTGGTGAGAATTTGTCTAATTATTGGAATGGGTTGATTAGAGTTAATGTTAATGTAAATAGTAGTATCTTTGTGATATGATTTAAAAGTATTGTTTAGAAGGTTGAAAGTTATATCTAAAAAATTAACTACTTTAAGGTTGGAAGAAATTTCAATTTTAACCCCAAGGAATTTGAAATCCCTGATAATTTTCTTTTGTAAATTAGAAGAGAGTAGACCATTACTATGAGGGATAAAAATAAGTCCATCATCTCTTATATAGACCCACCTGTTTAGGGTCAATAATCCTACTAAGGGTGATTAAAATCTAGATGCCTACTAAATCAGCAATATGAGTTGAGTCAAAGGCACCTATATGGACGTAGAAATTATCACTGTGACTTTGAATCCACATTGAGTTATAATTGGTCAGTAATGATTTTCTAAAAGTCAATATAACTTTGAAATTATTACATAATTTTTAGCAAAATTAATACATTTTAATAATAGATCTTTGGAGATGGAGAAAAAGAAATCTATTATGTCAAATTGAATAAAAGTGGCCTTATCTTTATTCTTAATATGGAACCATTTTATTGTATCAGAAGAATCTTTCTACAGATTGTTATAGGAAGATTCTTGTATTTTGTTGATAATTCTTATATATATATATATATATATGTTGGGTGCAAGTATGTGTATATATATATATATATATATATGTATGTGTTGTATATATGTATATGTGTGTGTATATATATATATATACACGAGTGTATCGGTATGTGTGTGTGTGTGTGTGTGTGTGTGTATATGACTAGTATGTATAGATGTATATAAAAATTTTCTTTTCATTTTTTGTTTGGAAGTAAAGTCTGATGATCCACAGTCCTTTTAACAGGGCTGTGGTGAAATAATTTATTACATGGAAACTTAAAGTGGTCTGTTTTTATTTAAATTATTTGCTCTGAATTTACATTGAGCTCTCTGGATTTTACCCCCCTTAGGTTTACCCATACGGATTACCTAGTTTTTCATAAACTAAATATATGTGTGTGTGTTTATGTGCAGTCCATACTTTACTTTTTCACATTTTTTATTTACACACACATATGTATATGATGATGATGATAATTTTTTAGATTAGATGATGAGGGTATAAATTTGATTAATGTTCAATGTATTTCACTGGCTGTAACTTTGTATTTCCTCTACAAGCTCTGGTCACTTTTGTTTTTCTTCTCCCACTTCTTTTTATCTCTTCGAGGATTTTCCTAGATCAAATCTTTTATTCATTTCTGCTTGTAATTTTAAATAAACTGTTTGGATGATTTAAACCATTTTATAACTCCGGTCTGAGGCAGTTTCTAAAATAAATTATTACAAACTCTTTAATGATGTATTGAGCTTTTCCTTTGATTGATATATATATATATATATATATTATATATATATATATATATATATATATATATATATATATATATATATATATATAATGGTACAGAAATAAAATGAATACAATGCTTTACAATTTTAACATTTTTAGAATGATTACAAGAAAAGGAAATTTTTTTCTTTTTCAAACATAGTAAAGTTAAGTAAAATTAAAAAGTTAAAATTCATCTAAAAGATCATTTTCTGTAAAAGACTTACAGAGAGAAGAAAAAATCTTTATTATTGGTGCTATAACTCCTTATTCTATAGGATATATTTTTAGTAGAAAAATATCTAGTGTTTAGCTCTTTCAGACTTTGCTTTAAAATTGCCAGGACCGTGCCATTGTGCCAGGAAGCCAGGTTTTGATGATCTATGCAAGTTTTATTTAGATCCTGTAGATTAAATTTGTATGGTAAAAGATATTTTTCACTGTTGTTATGGATTAGAAAACTAATTATTATTTATTATAATCTACTCTTATATTAAGATCAAGGCTTGGTTTTACTAGGTGGATTTACAGATGAGAAAATTTGATCTTTCTGTCAAAGCATGAAAAGACAATTTCAGAATGTTCGAATTTTGATAAATAAATCTTTTATTGTTCAACATGAAGCCTATTTAATTTTGTTTGCCTGAACATGTAGTTACTCAGATATTCACATTTTAAATGATGTCAATTTTGTTGTGTTTGGAAAATAAAAAAAAAATCATTCCTATCAATATAGATAGACATATATAAAAATTTACATATTCAATTAAAAATAAAAAAAACATTGTTAATAATGGCTAATAGAATGGTTGAAAACACTCAGATATATAGTACATTTGGACATTTTTACACACTTTATGATCAGAAAAAAAAAGTACTTGTATGAATGCAAGAAAAATTGAATAAAGAGCTTAATTGCAGTACCTTGTCAGTTGTCTTTAATAAAAATTACACATGCGCACAAGCACACATATAATTTTAATGTATGTTTATGGATTAAAATGCTCAATATCAGGGATAGAGAGTATGTACTAAATATAAATATATGGCCTGTTGATTGCATTTAGCATGAAATAGACTGTCGCCTCTGGGTGTTAACTTCATTGTCCACTTTTATATATATATATATATATATATATATATATATATATATACTACAGTTCAAAAGTTGATACCTTATAATTTTTTAAATTGGCTAAAAAAATAGTTGTTTTGTACTTTAAATAAGAGAAAATTATTATACATGGTCAACAAAAAGTGAGACATTATTTTTTATTATAAATTTTATTATGACAGAAAGAAAAAGCATTTTATAATTAAATTTTGCTTTCATCAAAATATCCTCCTTTAGCCTTGAATATTGCAGCAGAAATTTTTGGCATTCATTGCAAAAGTTTCTCAAAGTATAAGTTTGATAATTGATTCCAATTTTTTTTTTCAATGACTAAAAGCTTTTTTTCATTTATTTTTCACTCTTCTGTCAAGTTCATCCCATGTTAATTCTGAGGGTGCTTCAAACTTCTATACCTAATTATGGCTTTCATGTAAAAGTAATTTGTTTAACGATAAGAACCAATTTAAAAAAAGATGTTTATTACAAAACTGGGAAGATTATAAACTGATGCTGTTAAATCTGCTTCCCTCAGAATATATAACCTCATGTCCACCACTTTAGTTAATTGATAAAACTAGTTTTGGCCTTTATTTTGTTGGAAAATTCTTATTTGATATCTTTTTCTAATTTCAACACTATTATATTTCTAAAACTTTACATGGTATGGAATTTATGAATGAAAAAATAATAAATAAATGCTTCTAAACTTAGTTTATCCCTTGATAAAATGTTAAGACTTTAATAACTCTGGATTAACACTTATTGGAATATGACAACAAATAAAATGTTTTTAACTTAGAGTTAGAATTCCTGTAGAGTAAAGATCAGCAAGCTTGTTTTGTAGATCTTTACTACTTCAGGGAATCTGATTCTCACTTGATGCTCTACATTTGAAACCTTGTGCTAGACTAAGCTAATTTGCCTTATGACAAATTGTATATTTCCTGACTGATCCTGGTATTCTAACCAGGATTTTAAATTCTACTTGTCCAGGTAAGTCAGCTTTTCCTACTTAAAAAATTGATGTAGCACATTTTTCAAACCATTTTTACCTTCATCTAATCTCCTCTTTTGCTTTCAGGTATTACTGATAAAAATTATTTTCCAACTGGCAGCGATTTTACTGGATTAAATGGCCGACGAATTCACAAAAAGGATTATGAAGCACTTGCTCCCTTCAAATTCTTCTGCAAGGAATGCTCTTTCAAATCTAAACGAGAGAGCCATTTTGCTAAACATATCAAACTACATGAGACATCTAGTAATTTATTCCAGTGTAAGCGATGTGACTTTACAAGTATCCGCCTGAGCCATTTACGGCGACATGAAGTGCTCCACAGCCAAACACTTTTATGCTGTCAACAGTGCAAATACAATACGGACAGCAGTAAATTGCTTGCACGCCATGTGAAAAACAAACACAGCACTCAGCAGAAACAACACACCATGATTTACACATGTTCAAAATGTCAGTACAAGACATTACGTCGTCATTTGTATAATAGCCATTTACAAATTAGCCACAATCAAACAATGGATGCTGATACAATTGGTAGCAATGGTTCTAAACAGAATAAAACTTATCAATGTGATTTGTGTGCTTATAAAACTCAGCGTAAGGAGCATTATGTAAGGCACCAGAATAATGTTCATTGCAACCGTAGACCATATCTTTGTGATTTGTGTGGCAAAGCTTTCAAACGACCAGATGCACTTGCTCAGCACAAGTACACGCATATGGACAAGTCAGCCAGAGTGTTACCATTTACATGCACTTTGTGTGCAAAAGCTTTCCGATCACAAGTTGGTACTATTCTTTTTTTTCTTTCTTCTTTCCATATGCAATGTGTTTGGCTTAGAAATTATTTTATTACCATATATACTTGAGTATAGAGCAAGATTTTATGATCAATTTTTTATGCAAGTAATACGGGAAGTGCACTATACATATGTAATTCTTTTTTTTGAAGTGGTTAAAAATTGTGCGTTTTTGGTGACTGGTTGCACTACTCACAGGTAAATTTTTTCTGAAGGGGTTAAAATTCATGCAAAAAATTCATGAGTTGCATTATACATTACATCGCCTTTTGCACAAATATATACAGTATCTAAAATCTTTTGCATCACACTTGAAAACACTGTATTCCAATAGTTTGTTAAAAATGCCTTTTTGAGGTTTTTGAAATTCAGTTAAAACTAATATATTTTATATTTTTCTTATATGCTGCTTTTATTATTATTTTAAATTAACTGTAAGTCTTGTAACTTTAGAAAGTAAGTTGATTCCTTATTGAGTGTTCCAAAAAGTTTTGTTTTTGATGCAACTCTTTTATATTTAACTGTTTTTTTCTACTTTATAAGTATAAATATCTAAGATATAGTGAGTACACAAAAAATTATGCATTTTGGTTATTTTTCAAAAGTGATGTTAAACTAGGAAATTAATTAATGGCAGTAGAAAACATGTACTTCTCAATCAGCTTTAAAGATGCAATAAAAACAAAATAAAATATTGGTTGAAATAATACAAGAAAAATAGATTCCCCTCTTGGATAAGCACTGCTCCTTTCCCCAAGGAATTTAAAATAATTAACCCTCTTGAATAAGTGCTCCAGTGTGACTAAATAAATATATTTGAGAAACAAAAATAGACATTTGTTTGGTTTTGGGAGCTTAATGACAAGAAGTTAATTTAAACAAAATACACTTTTTAAAAAATTTTAAATAAGTACCCTTGTCACTAAATCAAGTGGTTATTGGGTTTCAGTCAATAATAATAATAGTTAATTAGATGTTGTGTGTGAAGTGTTCAGATCATTTAAACTTCATAGTTTAAGATTACTATTAAATCTAAAATCTCAGCAATACATACTTGGCAGTTAGTGCATTTTGTAAATAAAAATTCATTAAATGTTAGTTCTCAATTTTTTAATAGAATACATTTATCAATGATTTTAAAAAAAATGCAAAATAAATAAAACTGATTTTTTTTTAAGGTTTTCTTTTTCTGTTTAAACAGTTTTTATAAAATATAACATGTATTTGACATATGCTTCTCTCAAATGAAACTTTATTCTTTTTTATTGACAGGCACATCTTAATGAACACATGACAATGCACTCCAGTATTCGATCTCATTTGTGTCACTTTTGTGGTGCCTCATTCAAGACACGCTCTGTGCAGCAGAAACATATTCAGACCATCCATGTCAACCCCCGTTCGTACAATTGTACTCAATGTGATAAACGGTTTAACACCAATTATGCTCTACGTAGACACAAACACACGCACAACACACCAGGAATGCGTTGTGAATTGCAGCAAATGGCTCCAACTGAAAGTGCAACAAGTATTCAACAAGTTACTGTTCCAAATTTGACAAACATTACAGCCAATTGTCAAGAGCCACAAACTTTGGTACAAGAAGTGATGGCAGCTTCACCAATTGATGTAACTTATGATCAGAGTAGTGACACAATTCGCCAACCATTGATTCAATCCAATGAGACAACAACTGCACTGCTTTATCTGACAAACAACCTTTCACCTTATTAATTCTACAAACTGTTTGATATTTTAAAAAAATTTATTTATAACATTAGGAAGGGAAGTAATAAAAATAAATGACATTTAATATTCTTATATTTATCTGTTTTTGTTTTTCATTTTAATGGGGTTTTGTTGGATTGAGCAGTTAACTTTGGTACAAGATTGCATTTTTAAAATATTTGACCATGATCACTTACAACAACTTGAGACCAACATATTACTCAATATAGAGTTAATAGGGCTATTTTTTTTTTAAATTATCATATGAAAAGTGTGATGGAATTTTAGAACAATGGGATTATTTTAAAAGATGAAATTGATAAACCAGGTTTTGAATCATCAGTGCAAACTAATAAAACTTTTGCACAAGTCATGTATCTAATCATGTCCTACTGCCAGTCTTCTCAATACTAGCCTTGTCACTAGCTGATCATATATATATATATATATATATATATATATATATATATATATATATGTGTGTGTGTGTGTGTGTACACACATCTAAGCTTTAATAAATTGATATATATATATATATATATATATATATATATATATATATATATATATATATAATTTTACTTTTCTACAGATGGTTCTAATTTTTTCCAAAACCTTCATCTCCAAAGCAAGAATTGATATAACATAGGCTTTTTTTTTTGTTAAATTTCATTATCTTTAGTCATTGAATGTCACAGGCAGTCAGGTATATAAATAATTTATACCCTAGACTAATCTTCCACTTCCTTTTTCATCTCCTTAAATAGCATTCCGTTTGTACATTGTATATCTTACTTATTATAAAATGCAGATTGTGTGTGTGTGTGTCTGTAACGTTTAGATATTGGATCGAATTTCCTACATTTTTTAGCCGATTTCAACAAAACTTCACAGGACTACATAAAATTACCTTGTGGTGGTTCTAACGGTGCCGAAAATGGGGAAAACACAATTGTTTTTTTTAATAAAATCAATTTGAAAACACGATTAAGACACATTGTGAGAATGAAAGGGGGACAACTCACCCACGAAAATGTAAACAAAAGAGCATAGCATGATGAAAAAAAAGCTGAACTTGATGAAAACAAAATTTTATCGTCTAATGTTCATATTATTATTAAAGAGGAAAGATCAAAGTATTTTTGGAGTATTTTTTTACATTTTTAATCGTTCCTAGCACGTCTGAAATTTTCGTTAAAAAATATTGTTTTTTTTGGTCAAAAAAAGGACAGATAATCAATCATTTTTAATCATTTTTTCGATTTGATAAAAAAGATTAAAATCTTACTTTGATATTCTTTTAAAATCAATTATCATTTTTCAAAACCGATTTTAATAAAAACAGAAATTATACTGTTTATTTAAAATATTTTGAACCAAGCTTAACTTAGCTTCTGCGCCGAAAAATGTAATTTGAAAATAAAACAAAGCAGGTCATAAACTTTCGCGTCGCTTGACAATTGACGAAAGGCACATTCATGACGTTTAGATAACTTACGGAGGATAATTCTTTCTACGGATGGAAGGAAGTGAAATTATTTAAGTGAACAAATTATTTACCTCGTTACTTTTAAGGAAAACTTTCAGCGCTCTAATTTTTTTATTTATTTATTTTTTTTGTACTTAGCTTTCATTTTTTTACGTTTACGATGCTTTATGGAAAATATAAAGAAATTAAAAAAATAAGACTGTTAATAGTGAGATTAAATTTCATAAGAAAAAGGTATCTAATTAATTTAGGTACCTTTCTTATGAAATTTTATCGAAGTGTACATAAAATACTATAATTTTATGTACATTTATTACATTATACTGTGTTATTTGTATTTCCATTCATTTTATTATTAATTTTGATATTTCATTTATGGAAAAATGTCATAACTGAGATTAATATAAAAATAAGATCATATAAATTAAAGTTTAGCAGTAGCTAAATTTCATAAGATGATACTGTTACTTGTAGGTACCCTTCTCAGTTGAAATTGAAAACTCAAATTAACTTCTCCATACGTGTTTCGCAAAAAGTAAAGGGCTTAACAGCGGAGAACAATGTTGAACTCAAATAATGCAACTAAATTGCATTCTGGTTGGTCTTCCGTGCTTGATAATTACTGTCCGACTATAAACACAAAAATTACATTTCTTAATTACCATGGCTAATCTGATTGGTCCAAATTATACAATTTTCAAAGCGCTGAACAATGACAATCTCACACGGACATTTTGAAAGGTTGATGTTGCTTTTAACTAATGTTAAAATATTTTTTAAAATTCAATTTAAAAATTTTTTAAAAATCTTTTAAAATTAAAGAAATAAGAAATAATTGTATTAAAATTCAATTTTCATTGAAAACATTTTTGCTTTCAGAAAATATTGTCCATATTCATAAAAACAAATTAAAACAAATAAAAGCATTTGAAACTAAATAATATATTTGTTTTATTGAGTTTTGTATGTTACAATTCACAGCTGATTTTCAGGTACGTTGGCCAAAAAAAAAAAAAAAAAAAACATGATTTGCATTCTTCAAAGCCTTGTGCTTTTTTGTAATCACTAAAACCGATGGTCTCGAATTTCTAGAGTTATTCATAAAATTAGTTATTGGGGTTTTAATAAATATAAAAAAAAAATTCTGCCATGACTTTAATAAAAAAAAACATATTTCTAATAATTTCGATCATCTGTGAATATTTTCTGAAAGTTTCATTAACATCTGACAATTATTTTCATTTTTGCAAGATTTTCCAAATTAATGTGTGTAAATACAAAAAAACGCGCTAAAAATTATCTGTTATTTACTACCCCTTGTTGCGACAAAGAGAAACAAGGTTTTTTAAATCAAAATTTAGAATATTCTAAAAAGATGGAAAAATTTTTTAAAATAATTTTAAAAAAATTTAGTCTATCCTCTTCATAAAAACATAAGCATTTTGACGATAAAATTTTGTTTTCATAAACTTTGGCGTCTTTTTCATCAGACTATGCTCTATGTTTTAGCGATTCCGTGGAGTGACTTAGGTTAAAAAACCCAGGTTGTGTGTGTGTGTGTGTTCCTTTATATATGGGATCGGATTTCTTACATTTTTCAGCCGATAAAACAAACATCCACTTTTTTTTTTTGGGCAGGTAGTATTTCTTATTGTCTTGCACACTTTTTTCTTTATTTATACATTCAGAATGCTTTAAAAATTCCATTTACAAGACAATTGTTTATAATAAAATTCTAATTCTATTCAACCAGGGGACTCATCATAACGATTGAAAACAATGTTTTTGTTTGAGTTTGGGTTTGACCAATTCGTAAAAAAAAACAAAAAATACTAAGACATGCGTGTCCGTCAACCTAAACAATAATCTAACGATCTCTACTGATTGTACGAATCGAAAAATCGGATAATTCTTTATCTTTAGGGAAAGATAATTCCACGTACTTTAGGGCCGTTTTTACAATTCCCTTTGCAATTTGTTACAAGGCAGATCAATAAGGCATTGGTTCTATTTGAAATTAATTCAATATTTAAAAGAAAGTATTAAGAAATAATTTAAAAATGCCGACGTAAGAAATCTGATAGACAAAAAACAACAATATTTCGAAGATGATAATTATTAAGAACACAGTACTTGTAATAAATTAATAAACCCAAATAAAGTTAATATTTTTTGTATTAGAAACAACGAGTGGAAAATATATTCAAATCAGAATTCTAATTATGAATCACCACAATCAAAATATGCAATTTTTTTTTACTGTATTCAATAAAAAAAATCATAAATTGTAAAAGATTACAGAGAAAGGCTACCTACATTTTTCAACCGATTTCAACAAAACTTCACTTTTTTTTTGGCAGGTAGTGTTTCTTATTGTCTTTCACATTTTTTTCTTTATTTTTACATTCAGAATGCTTTAAAAATTCCATTTACAAGACAATTGTTTATAATAAAATTCTATTCACCAATCGATAGACTCATAACGATTGTAAACAATGTTTTTGTTTGAATTTGGGTTTGACCAATTCGTAAAAAAAATAAAAAAATAAAAAAAATAATTAAGACATGCGTGTCCGTCAACCTTAAACAATAATCTTTGTCAATTTTATTTTTCAGTCTTTATGATGGTCGATACTTGATCTATCTCTTACTGTTACATCCCCGGACAACGCCGGGCTCTACTGCTAGTAAATAATAAATCACTCTAACATCTATTCATTTGTAAAAGGTAACAAAAAGATTTAACTGATTTTTGCTAAATATTAATTACATGATTGAACTATTTAACCCCCTATTCTGTCTTTGATAGATTGTTCCACTTTAATATATTTCTTTTTTACTTTCTATATATGTGAGGCAAATAAAACCTTCAATAAAGTTTTATTTGCCTCTTGTGATTTTACTACAATTTATTCACCTCACTAGAACTTTTTTAAGACAAAATATTACTGTCATGGAAAGACTATTGAAACCAAAATGTTTCTCTACTAATCCAGCTAGTATTATGGCCAGTAAAGAATGGCTATTCTGGAAGAAGACCTTTGCAAATTTCCTTTTGTTGCTACCAGACGAAGACTTAGACGACTCAATGAAACTGAAATTGTTAATCAATTACATAGGCCCTTCAGTACACAAGTACGTTGCCAACCTTCTTATGTATGAAAGTGCTATGGCTGAACCTGAGAAAATTTACATCAAGCTGAAGAGCAACATTTTTGCCCACTAAGTTCTTATAACTAGGAACCAGAAAACTGATGAAAGTCTGGACCAGTATTTACAAGCACTCCATCTGATTAGCAAAACTGGATTTTAAACAGCAGAGATTAATCATGATTAGTATATCCGGGACACCTTCATAAATGGACTACCGTCTACTCATACAGACAAGACTCCTTGAGAATAGGTCACTAGACTTAAACACTGCATACAACAGTCTTTGGTTCTAGAAAGGGCTGCCAAATAATCCTTATTCTATATAGAACTGGCTACTGTAAATCTTTCTACCAATAACCATCCT